ATGCATGTATGTGTATACATATATATATATATATGAATCCATACACACATACACACCGAGGTGGTTGGCCTTCTCTTGGTGGTTCTGATAAAGGTTCTAGCGAGGGCATCTCTTGGGTCGGTCGCAGCGTCGTTCAATTTTATTTCTTACTGTTAATGATATTACTGTTATAATTAGAAAAGGCTTTTGGGGTATATTATGCTACAACTATAATATAAGGAACCCCCCAAATAGTATTGGTAATCCTATTATTATCTAGTTTCTGACCCTCCGATGCTTGTAGTACACCCGGAGCTCTACAAAGCCGCCAAAGCGGTAAGTGCCGCAGGCCATCAACGCGGCCTACAGCCGCATGAAGGTGGCGAGCGACGACGACCGTACCGGCCTTGTAAGGGGCAGAGTCCAAGATGTCAGGGATCCCTAAACCCTAAACCCTAAACCCTAAACCCTAAGCCCCATACGTTCTCCATCTAGGGCTTTAACCTTGGCAAGTTTTTTGTTTGGGGAACTGAGCTGGGCTTTGGAGATGCTGGAAAACCGGGCTTAGGGCTTAAGTTTCGGGTATTAGGTTAGGGGTTTAGGGTTTCGGGTTTAGGGTTTAGGGTTTCGGGTTTAGGGTTTAGGGTTTCGGGTTTAGGGTCGGGTTTAGGGTTTGGGGTTTAGGGTTTAGGGTGTGGGGTTTAGGGTTTAGGGTTTAGGGTTTGGGGTGTAGGGTTGCGGGTAGGAGATTGTGGTAGTGCAGGGCTCCAACTGTTGCTAAAGATTACGAAGTGGCTTCACTGCCTGCTCGTTTAGGAAGCTTCCTTCCAAAACAAGTCCAGTGCCGAAAAGTTTTGCACGGGCCACGGCTCGGGTCCAGAAGAGTACTGATCATAATGAGGGTCTTTGCAGTATCATTGTTGAAGGTCGATCTTTGGTTTCATGGAGAGCTAGTGAGGAGGTACAATCAAGTTTGTGAGCGCGATCTTTTCTTTGCTATCGCTCATGCTAGAAACAGACATGTATCGCTTAAGGGTCGCAGTGCCATTCGTCACGATTTGAATGAAAATTCTGATGCTGATCGCGATCCCGACAGTCCGTCTGCCTTGAGAAGCTCCGCATGTTTCGAATCCTCGGTGTTTTGAGGTTTTAGGTTTAGGGTCTAGGTATACATTCTACTATGCTATACTATACTATACTATACTATACTATACTATACTATACTATACTATACTATACTATACTATAGGGTTTTGGGTTTGGGGGTTGAGTCTACTATGCTATACTTTACTATACTATACTGTACTATA